GGCGGCCAGTCTAAGGTCTCCGTCAGGCGCCTCGCGAGTGGCATGACACACTGAGGACGACGCTTGCGGCTCTTGGGTTTGCTCCTTCGACTGCTGACCCGTCGTTGTTTCTGCGCACCGACACTTCCCTACCACCGTTCGACATCCTCGTGTACGTCGACGACTTGGTCTTTGCCACTGCTGACATTGAGGGACTTGCCCACGTGAAGTCGGAGCTGCAAAAGAGACTCACGTGCACAGACCTGGGAGAGCTGCGCAGCTACCTTGGCTTGCAGATCACCCGGGACAAAGCACGGTGCACCATTACCCTGACTCAGTCTCACATGGTGCAGCAGGTCCTTCAGCGCTTCCGCTTCACGTACTCCTCGCCACAGTCCACTCCTCTGCCTACCGGTCACTCGCTCTCAGCTCTGCCTTCGGATGAGTCCGTAGAGCCGAGTGGCCCGTATCCAGAGCTTGTGGGCTGCCTCATGTACCTGATGACCTGCACTCGTCCTGACCTTGCTTACGTTAGCGCGAGCAGCGGCTGCAGCATCGCGCGCTGCCCGCCAGCACTAGCGACGCTGCCCTCCCTGCCCCTGCCGCGGCCTCTGTCGTAGGTGGGGGTGGTGGCCGTGAATGGGGGGTGGAGGGTGTGAGGGGGAGGCAGCATCTACAGCGCCAGCCCGCCTCCGCGCCAGCCCGCCTCCTCTCTCTCATGGCTGCGCCTGCTGCTGTGGGGGGGAGGGTGAGGGGGTGACGCCCCAGTTTCAGCAGCAGCCGCCTTTCCCTCTGCCCCTCTCCTACTGCCACACCTGCTGCTGTGGGGGAAGAGGGTGAGGGGGTGGCGGGAGTGAAGTCCAGCTGCCGTCGTCACACCTGCTGTCACTCCATCTGCCACTGCAGCACCTGCTGCACCTGCTCTGGTGTACCCAGTGTTCACTACACTTGTTTTCCCTGCAGGCAGTTTAGGGGGTGTGTCGTAAAATATATTGTTATATTTTATGTATAAAATGCCTACAGTGTTATCTAGTGTAGTGTAGCTTTCTGTTTGGTGGTATACCTCCTTGCTTGCTTGCCTAGTCACTACTTGTACTCTTGTTGCTCTTTAATCAAGCCCTCTTTTGCTTATCTTCTAGCCAAGGTTTCCTAGGGTTTCTAACCTTTGCCTAGACTATTCTGACAGTTATCGCTGTTTGGTACAGAAGTCCGAAACCTTGGAGTTAGCAGCAACCCAGTAGGAACCTCGAAGTTAGATGCCTGACAAGAAACTGGATCTCGTTTAGCAAGCGATACTATGTCCGACGTGTAGACACAAAAAGGGTATCGGTCGCTGCGCCTTGTAACGAGGAAGCCAGATCTGTAGTTTTTAAAGCCAACTGACACGGAACCAACACGGGATCTGGGTTTGAAGCTGCGCGGTAATATCCATGGTGGACTCATGGTAGCAGTCGATGGTGATGCTTCAACTAGAAAGGCCGGAACCGTGTTTAGAGACTCTCGCATCATGAGGCTACACCCACGAGTTGCATTAACGTGACATCGTACACGCTATACAAAGTGTGGCACTGGTGTTACAATGTCTGTCGAAACCCTAGACATTCTCCCTGAGCATTGTGAAGAGAGTGCGACACCAATGTAATTGTGTGCCCGAGCAATCCGCATAGTAAGGGTGCGTCAGATCCTTTACAATGTGATTTGGCTGGAATTTGGTCGACCATTTTGGTTGATTTGCAGGCCGCTTTCAGCGTCCGCCAAATCGCACGAGCTGGCGACGTCGTGTAGTGACTGTAGCGATCTCAGGTCGACAAATTGGTCGACTTTCGAGTCGACTGCACGTCGGAACTTTGTCGAATGCTGAACTGGCCATCAAATATTTTACAAATGGCCGGCTTTGACGAGCATTAGGAAATATTGCGCGAATGTCGCAAATGTGTTACTTTCGCTAATTCCGGCCGGCCGGATTTTCCCGACAACGGATCTGACGCACCCTAAAGCAGGAAGTGTGTCTGTGGGAGGTACTTACGACATTCTTGAGACACACCTCGAGCAATGTTTCCAGCGCGAATGTTTTGTAGCGAGTGAGCGATCGGTGATCTCGCCGATCAGACACTCGTTCTCACCTACAAGTAACTAGGTAGAATGTCTAGGTTCGGAACACCCCAACCTCGCTAGGTATGTTTCCCAGAAACTGAAACGTTGGTTTCTCCACACCACACCAACGACAGAGTAAATGAGAAGTTGCTTCGTAGTAGGCTTCAGTTCCCATCCGATGGAAAAATCCTGCCCCAAAAAACTGTCCACAAAGTATGTTTAAACATGCCTCAAAGTATGCCACACGGAACATACTTGTGACATTAAGAGGATCATTGCTGGGGGAATGGTGCTGCATACCTCGCGCATTCTTCTTGGATAACCACATCTTGCTACGAACACTCCCCCCCGCCAGTAGGGGAACAACGACAAAGGGAAACTCGTTTCTGTATTAGGCTGTGTAACACTTTGTACAGTAATGTAAAATGCAAACAACACAACGTCTTTATATGTAAAATCTGAAAGCATTTGTGAAACTTCAAACTATCATTATAAGAACTTCCACTCATTATAGGCAGCATTACGTATAGTCACATTTGCCCACCAGTAGCATGACCTGTCATTGCAAGATGTTTTTTGGTTGTTTACATCAGTTTTATAAAACCATAAATTACCCAGCAGTCACACATTCACAAATCAAACACGAAACATCAGGGGTGCTTGTTGCATCCGACTGTACAGTACAAAGCCTACAATAACAAGCTCTTCGAAACAATGCGCCATCCAACCTACCCCAGTATAATGCAGGGGGGGATGAGGAGCCCCTATCAGCAGTGCCGTATCATTGCAAGAGAAAGAGCCCATCACTGCCTTCCCCTCTGCTTCCACATCCCCCATCACTACCTCTCCCTCTGCTCCCTCATCTCCCTCGTTACCACCTCCCCGTCTCACATTCCCCCCATCACTGCCTCCCCAACTGCTCCCTCATCCCCTCACCTACTGCTCCCTCATCCCCCCATCAATGCCTCCCCGACTGCTCACCCATCCCCCCATCGCTGCCTCCCCCACTGCTCCTGCTTTCCCCCTGTCAATGCATCCCCCTTAGGTGCCACATCCCCCTTATCGCTACCTCCCCCGCTGCTCCCTCCTTCTCCCCGTCACTACCTCCCCCGACGCTCCCCCACCCTCCCCCCCGTCATTGCCTCCCTCACTGCTCCCCCATTCCTGTCACTGCCTCACCCACTGCTCCCCCATTCCCCCTGTCGCTGTCTCCCCACCCTGCTCCCTCTTCCCCCCCATAGCTGTCTCCCCACCCTGCTCCCTCATCCCCCCCATAGCTGTCTCCCCACCCTGCTCCCTCTTCCCCCCCATAGCTGCCTTCCCCCCTGCTCCCTCTTCCCCCCCATAGCTGCCTTCCCCCCTGCTCCCTCATCCCCCCCATAGCTGTCTCCCCCCCTGCTCCCTCATCCCTCCCATCACTACATCCCCCTTAGTTGCCACATCCCCCTTATCGCTGCCTCCCCCGCTGCTCCCTCATTCCCGCCAAAGCTGCTTTCCCCGCTGCTCCTTCATCCCCCCCGTCGATGCCTCTCCCTTATCACTTCTTCCCCCTTAGATGCCCCGTAGCTGCCTCATTCCCTTCGTCGCAGGAGACTGATTCAATAAAACCAGTCAACGAGGTTCAAATACAAGTGGTCCAGCTGATACTGATGAGAAAAGGGTGGTTTGGGATGAGGTATTGAGTAGGCATGCGACAATGGCTGAACATGATCCAGTGAGAGTGAGTAGGGAACGGCAAGGGTGACAGTACAGTGAAAAATGGGTGATACGGGAGGGTCTTACAGGTGCTGGAGGTGAGGGAGAGTGTTAAGGTGAGGTGCGGTAAGGTGAGGCCCGGGTTTCAAGCGAGGACCAAGCGAGGACTTTGCGAGGGGTGTTCAAGTGGGGTGTTTTCAACGGCGGCTGGCAGTTCGAGGTCAGCTAGTAAGCGAACGGCAAGCGAAACGCGGATAGCAGTAGTACATGGTGGGCTAAGCGAACAGTTGATTGTAGAACGGTGCGGCACAGTGAACGGGAAGCAATGCTAGCAAATATGGCGGACGAGCAAGCCCATAAAAAAATGTGAAAACTACGCTCACGCTTTCAAGGGAAGCATGGTGGGTCTTAGTTTCCGCGTGGTCTAGTTGCTCGGCTGAACAGCTTCCTCTGCACGCACACAAGGGTGTAAGTTATTGAGAATCGTAACAAACCACCGCATGCAAGGGAGAGTTTAGAGACGTCATGAGCATTGCGCATGATCTTATTGCTATCTTATTTCATTTCACGCTCCCATGCCACGCACACAGGTTGGGGGGTCGACAGGGGCAAGAGAGTGGTGGATGAGGGGAGAGAGCGGGAGGAAGAAGCAGAAGGGTGATTGGGCGGGAGTGAAAACACTGAATTGCACTGCCAGCTGCAGGCATGGACTTCGCGTTGCTAAGACATTCTTCTACAGGCCTCGCCTCGCCATGCCCCATGTGCCTCGCCATGCCACTACATGCACCATGCCACTACATGCACCATGCCACCACACCTCACCTGTGCCCCACCACATCACGCCACGCCATGCCATCACATGATGTTCCGAGGCCCCCCATGCCACCACATGCCACCCCATGCCACCCCACGCCACCCATGCCATCCCAACCCATGGCACATACGTGAGCAGTATCCGGAGGAAGCAGGGTTGGCAGGAGGGGGGGAGCAGGAGGGGGAGGAGGGGGGAGGTGCGTTGCAGAGCGAGGCGAGGAGGAGGTTGAGGGCGATCTGGCGCACTGGGCAGGGCAGAGCCGCCACCTGCACTCCAGGTAGGTGGGGCAGCTGGGAGGGTGAGGGGATGCGGGGTGGAGGGGGAGAGAGGGAGAGGGGGAGAGGGGGGGAGATAGAACGGAGAGCGATAACAAGATGGGAATGGGATGGGTGGCAGCACGACGAGGGATCTAAGGGAGCTAGCGAGGATTGCGAGTCAGGGTTGATAAGGCCTCAATAGGAGCGTTGAGAAATCCTGAGCGCGCGAGCACCGACCGCGAGCAGGATGACGCTGTCCTCGACGCACGCGGTGACGCCGAAGTCGCAGTGCCCATCTCCAGCTCGACCGCCTCGATCTTGCTCAGATCCTGAATGTCGTTTAGGATGGCCAGCAGCGCGTGTCGGCTGCTGTGGATTGTCTCCACGAAGCCGTGCTGCTCCTCCAACAGCGGCGTCAACAGCAGCAGCAGCGTCATGCCTGGGAAGTGTATGGCAGATGAGGGTAGAAACCGAGAATACGGCAAGGCAAGAGTCTATGAGGAGTGCATGAGCGCAAGGCCCGAGCATGCGTGCAGCAGTCCAAGCTGGGGTAAACTCAATCGTGAAGTGCTCATCTCACCGAGCACGCCGTTCATGGGGGTACGATTCCCGTAGCTCATGGACGCCAGGAACCGCGACTTGAGGCGGTTGGCAGACTCCGCCTCCGTGCGCGACTCGCGCAGCTCCGCCACGATCCGCTCCAGCACCAGCGACTGCTGTGATGTTCGGCTGCTCGATTGCTCCAAGTCCTGCCGCCATGCGCGCATACACGAAAGCACAGGTCAGAGAGATCGGTACAAGTGGGTGGTACCGTACCGCAGCTCTTCATTTCGCGTCTTCTGTGAACCTTCCAGTAACGAAGGTGGATGTAGTAACTCGTGACCTTGATGCATCGCTGTTGTGCTGCAGCTGCTCCGTGCGCTCCACAATGCGCTCCTCCAGCGCTGCGTTGAGCGCGCGGATCTCGCCCTCCTTGCGCTTGATGTCGCTGATGTCCGCCGACACGCCGATCACCCCCACCAGCTGCCCCGACGGGTTCAGAATGGGCGTGTCCGTCACCTGCGAGATGGCGCGCGCGGGGAGCAGACGGTGAGATGCAGCGGAGAGGCGATTGTGGGGCGGCGGGTGGGGGGGCCGGGAAGACGGGTGGGTGCGGAGAGACATGGGTATGGAGGGAATGTGGTATGAGAGGTAGCGCGCAGCAAGGCTCGGAAGGATAGCGTGCACCATGGCAGGGAACGGCGAGCCGTCTCTGCGTCTGACGAGGAACTCGACAGTCCACACCTCCCCCTTGCTGAGCGCGCCGAAACTGATCGTGCGGACGTACACAATGGCAGTAAATCACCTGGCACACGATCAGTAAATCTCGCGGATGTGAGACAATCCGGGACTAATTTACATAGCCTAAACTTTTCTGGTTTGCAAGGGGTGCTCAAGTGGGCGGTAAACCATGTGTTCGCAGGGGCAGCTAAGCCAACAGCGAGCGACCCTAAACCCGGCGGACGAGCAAGTACCAAGGAAAAAAAATAAACAGCCCTTTCGCTTCATAGGAATAACTGTGAAACGGTGGTCTAGTTACTCTATGTGGCCATGGCTAATGGGAATTCCGGAATGAAGCAACTTGGCAAAAGAAACTATGAAATGCTCGTGAATCTGCTCGATTGAAATAGAAGTGTTCGGAGGGACTTGCGTGCTAGGATCTGGTTCAGAATACCAAACCCACGATCACGCCGAAAATAGTGAACATGCTACGTTGTAACATCAGTCGTCGCGCAGCATGTGATGCTCCTGCAAGGCTGGACGAATTTGCGGTGTAACCACTGGCACCTGACACAGAGGGTCGTGTTGTTGACGTCTCAGCAGGCTACACCCGACACATGCCAACTTTGTCGGCGAAAAAAACCGAGCACGCGTTTTGATGTAACTGTACACCAGCCCCGACCTGACCTTAGGTTTGGCATGTCAGGTTTGGTTCAGTACACAAACTGCCGCCCCTAGATGCTGGTGCCACGACTTCACGAGAACATGTGCAAATGAACGAAATGTACGAACCATTACATTGAGAACAAACTTTACACTATAACGGGCCTGTCTTTAACCTGCCACACGCTGTTTCTTTTCCTCTCAGGATGGCTCTCTTTGTCGTATCGGAAACCCTACCTTCGTAGCATAGCTCTCTGCATGATAGGACATAGTTCACACACATCTCACGAAGGATAGATAAAAGAGTGCTACAATTGTGGGTATGTTTTGGGGGCCAGGAATTTTGTGACGTCATTTTGGGATGGGGCGGTCGTTCACGCAGCAGCAGCAGCAGTCGCACGCGGGCGGCAGTATCATGGGAGGCGGCAGGGAGCGGCGGCAGCAGGGGGGCGCGGGAGAGATCGGGTGGCTGTCGGCTGTGGCGATCGGCGCTATCATGCCCGGACTCAACGTGAGCCTGGGGCGTGCTGACGTACCATGGAATCCATCATTGCGTGAGGGTTGTTGGTGTTAGCATGCGGCGATGACTGCTGCGCACGCTTTCTTGCTGGCGCTCGTATAAAACACCAGAAAGTTTGTGACCCAGCCGCAGACAGGCCTCCAGGCGAACTGGAATTCCAGGAGCAGCAGGGGGTGCTCTGGAAATTACCGTGTACGGGGCGGGGTCTCCTGTGCTGCTGGGTTTGGACGTTTCTAAAACGAACTGGTTGGAAATTGCAGGTTGTGGCACTGCGCCAGCTGCTCGGGGACTGGCTGGATCTCGCGAAGTTGCCATGTGGCTGTACATCGCACTGCACATCGATTTGGCCTACGTGGACAGTTGCCAAGTCACGCACCCATTCTTCAACTCCGATCAATCGCGCTATTGTATTATGCTGCTTTCATAATAAATGCTGTATCACTTAAGGAAGGCATAGAGCACTGAGAAATATCATACTTTGGCAATACAAATTGCTGTTATTATTTCAGTAGCAATTCTTCTTACCGCATATGAATTCTCTTTCACTCTTCATTCAACCATATGGTTTTCATAATAATACGTTGGTTGATTTTATTGCAACACGTAGAATCAACACTTCCGTTCTTATCCGTTTTGCTCTACATGAGCTATTGCGGTACTCGTACAGACGCGTTGCTTCGTTCTGAAATGACGCGTGAGTGGAGATCCTTCAGGAATGTTACTATAACATTTCGGTTATTCCAACATTGTTAAAGAAGGATCAGTGCAATGTTATTAATGGTGTTGATTTGCTGTATCACCATCTGATGCATGCTACGATTTAAAGGCAGATGTTGTCAACATTCATGCGGAGAGTCACTACACAACGGGAGTGGACTACGGAGGAAGGCACGGGGTTGTGCGGGGTTGTGCGTTGCACTAGCGTTCTCACTACTTGCTGTGTTCACAAAGAGATTTGGCAAGAGTTTCACAAATAAATTGAAATAACAATAGATCACAGGCATGCAAGTCGATATAGCTAGAATGGCATCGCAACACCTAGCAAGACCTCTGCGGAGCGAACTCTGCCAGCGCAGCAGAATAGCGGCTTGCCAACGTTGCAGCAGAGTAGTTTTTCCAGCGTTGCACCGCAGCGGTCTGCAAGAGCCGTAGAGGCAGGTGAGCATCTGCACATGTGCGCACATACCAAGTATGTGCGAATAGACGGTCGCGTCGCCAGGCACATTGCGCATGTGCCAGGTAGAACACGTGTCGACGGTTTCGCAAACGGTGCACTAACGAGCACGTGATGCCGTTCCGCATGTTGACTTCGCGAAAACCTCATGAGGCGAAGTTCGCGCACATCTACGACCTTCACAGTCGAACAGCGTTCAGCTGGTTCGCGCAGAGCTGTCAGAATGTGATATTTGTCTAGCCTGCAGTGGGGTACTCTATAGCGAGTATAGCCCGAATTAGGGTTTCCTATATGTACCCAACTGCCTGCTAGTGCAAATCCCTCTTTTCTGTTCTTACTTTCTGCCTACTATTTTGACAAGAGCCTCTCGACGGACCAGCGCAGAGCCTCTCGAGAGACTTGCGCATAGCCTCTCGACGCATTTGCTTGATTATTATTCATGCAAGGATGTGTTGCTTGCACAATACAAGCTACATGCTTGTTTGATATAACCCATCACATGCCTTTACTCTTCACTTGTTCAGTTAATAATATATATCTGATATGAGATGTAATGTAATGAGATATCGTAATACACCGTCTGATATACCCAATAGCCAATCTGGGATGAATGGGATAAAATAAATAAATTTCGATATATGTAAAGCAAATTGATGTGCAAGGATGGGGATGTGATACATAGTAATATTTAGTACATATTACTGTTTTGTTCCCATATATTCTGTTTCGATGCTAAAAGATGACAAATGTGCTTGGAAACATACACATATTATAGAAAATTATAAGTACGTACGTTAAGTTTCAAAGAAATTTGTATCCAGATTTTGTTTATAATTATGTATATAACTTGAAATATACAAAGAACAGTTATAATCCACACCATTTGTTGGTATTTTGTTGCCAGTGGTCAGGTTTCGCCTATTATCATGACTATTTGTGTTATTCTTTGTTGGTTCTAGAAACTGGATCTTGGCTGGAAAGGCGGATAAATAGGTAGATCTTTGTTCGAGAAACATGTGTACAGTGGGGTCTTGAAACTGCAGTGCTGTATCAATATCCGTATTTGTATAGCTGGCAGGAGTCAGCGAGCCAGTTCGATTCGTCGACCTGGACATTTCTATACACCTCACGACGCCCAGAAATGCCATTGTGGCCAATCGGTGCTCAGACCGGTGTCACCGCTGGACAATGCTGTGGCACCAAACTGCCACTGTGCCCAATGGTTGCTCAGGCTCGTGACAGCGCTGCCAAATCCGTTTACGTGTACGGCTGCTCTACCACTGAATCAGCATCTTTGATGCCACGCTGGTGGTTGCTGCGCTGGTATGCCAGTCGCAGGTTTCGTCGCGTCGCCTGGCTCTCAGTGATCGAGGAGAGGTTCATGCATCTGGGTGCTGGCTTGTTCATCACCTCATTCGGATCGTTTGTACAAGCATTAGGCTCTCAGCTCGCCCATTCCTCATCGACGAGCTGTTAGTGAAGGTACTTTCGTGAATGCAGTCTATCTCGTTCCTTCTCTTTTGCTTCAGCTACTAACTGTTCGTCCGCAGCTCCATTCCTTCAGTCGCCGAGCATTAGTGCTTTCAGTCGCCTAATCAGAATGCCTACATCAGTGCCGTCATTTCGATTTGTATTCCCTAACGCGTTTTTTTTTTTCTTTTTCTTTTTTACTACGGTGACGCTATGTTGTTTTACTGTGTCCTATTCGGTTAGACATGGTGGCGCCCGACGCTTTTCACCGGCAATTGTGGTTGCATGCCGAGGTATGAATGCATGTTGTTATCGTTTTTGTTTAGCGTCTGTTTTTACTTGCAGGCTGTCTGTTTTTGCTTGCAAACCGTGCGTTTTTTCTTGCAGACCGTTTGTTTTTTATTGCAGACCTCTGTTTTCGCTTGCATGCCGTCTGTTTTTGCCTGCGGGCCGTGTGTTTTTGCTTGCTGGTCGTCTGTTTTTGCTTGCAGAATTTTTTTTGCTTGCAGGCTTTTTTTGCTTGCAGGCCTCTCTTTCTGCTTGCAGGCGTCTGTTCTGCTTGCATATTCGAGAGATTTTGTGATGACGGTGGTAAGTCAAAAGTTACGTTCTTGCAGTTTTCTTGCTTCAACGTTCTGTTTCACCGTGCAGGTCCTGTATTTTATTAGCATTTAATTTTCATTGACAGTGATGTTAAGTTTTGTTATTACAATTCTAGTGTTTTCTGGATTTGTCGTTTGAAATTATCACCTTAATATATTCATTATAAATGAGCTCGCTGCCAATCTTAAGAAAAAAGAAATTAAGCTTTACATTGTGAGAAATTAGTCCCCAAAAACAAAAGGGATTCGACCGGATATTGTATTGGTTCAATATTAAATTGCGCCAACAATATATAATTTATATTTTGTTATAGCGCCACCTGGTTACTTCTCTACAGTGTTGTTCGTCCATTTCGCCACCACTTGTAACAGTGAATCGCGCTTCGATTTGAACGTCGTGCAATCCGCCAGATTTCCTCGTCAATGGTCATTTACGAACTGAACTCAACATGCCTATGCACTGTGCACCCCGTAGATCGAGCAACTTCAGTCGCAGACGGTTTGAACGGAAATCAACCATTCGAAACCCATTTAGGGAGTGGCCGATCAGGGGTGGCAATCGGCCTAACCCATCACACATACACAGTCTGCACGACATATCGCCAGAACCCAACCCCAACTACCCGAACTCTTCTAAAACACCCCAATCCAGTCGACACAACTTTCTGATGAACGCTCTCAAGCTCTCGAAAATTAGTAGTTCGTCTTGCTGCGCGCGCTAGTAAGGCAACAAAAACTCACTAGCGAAAAGGCTCAGGCTACGAGGCCTTTCATAGCCCGCCGATCGACCCCTCAATCTGCAGAGCCACGGCACGGCACGACTCCTTTTCCTGCCGTTGCACGCTGCGCGAAACCAGTATCGCCACTTCCCTGACAGCGGTTCTCCACGTTCGGGCTGAAGCTTAGCCCTCCTGGCAGTCTCGACAGCGTTTGACACGGACAGGTGTTTCACCTGCGGCGGCGTGGTTTCTGCTGTAAATTCAGACAACACGTTCGCGAGCCTCCTCACCCTCTCGAACAGTAACCCCCACACACGAACCCACTTGCACCTGCTTCATATTCTGAAAGCACCAGCACGATCCTCGGCAGCGGCACCACCAGTCCTGCCTACCCACGATATCCGCGTTGTGTCTCGTTAGTACATTTGCTTGCGCTAGCATCGCAAATTCGTGACATTGGGCACACCGCCAGCTGCACTGCACAACTCTCTTTCTCATCTCCACTAAAAAAAAAGGAAAAAAAATTGCCGAATCGCAAGCGGGACAGGATGCCTGAAGACTCGGACCCGAACCCATCTCGTCCTCCTAATCGGTCATGCTCAACCCCAGCTTTTGCAGCTCTTCCGATTCCACAAACACCACGCTCACCATCTCGCCCTACTATACCAGCCGTCACACACACCATCACAAAAATCCTGCGTTCGGAAAGCCGTTGAAAAGAGTTGCTTTGGAGCTTTGTCGAATGATTTATAAATGTAGTGTTTCGAACGCTTTTTTTGAGAAAGTATAGGGCGCTTTCCAAATGCTTTGTCGAACGCTTTTCAAATGCTTCTGCAATGCTTCTCTGTTCAAACCTACCAGGTGAAAACCTTCGGCAGAAGTTTGGTTCGAGTTTCCGCAGAGCAATTTCGGAGATTGGATATCATTGCAATGTACTCTTTATGGACTTTGAGTTTCATTATAATAAGCTTAGATCAGAGACTTGCAAGACGTTACATGTAGTTTAAAAATATGTTTATTTGCCTTATCCTTGCATTCAAACTAAACATAACAGAAGCTTAGGTAAAAGCATATTATTCACACCTAAACATGCACATAAAACAGCATCCTAAACCCACCCTGTTTAGTCAAACATACCGCTAGTTAGGTTGATATGCATCATCCTACTACCTGCTTCTCATGCTCCCGTACACTATGTCTCCCACTCCGCCCCAACTCTCGTGCTCTAGGCCGAGCGTGCCCCTGCGTCCACTGCTTCCTCGCATGTTCTACCCTCTCATGCGTCAGCTGCTCCGCCCCTGGCGCTCTCCAGTCACGCCTTTACTGCTCCTTGCTTTGCCCTCTCCATCCATGCCTAACCTGCTGCCCCCCTTGCGCCACTACCGTATTTAATGCTGCCCCCCTTTCTCTATCCGCTCGTGCCTTTTCTGCTGTCCCCCTAGCTCTCTCCACTCATGCCTGTTCTGCTGCACCCCCTTGCTTTCTCCTCCAGTTGCCTCGCCGGTTGCCCCCCATTGCACACTCCTCACATTGCATCTCCTGCTGCCCCCCATGCTGACTCCACTCTTTTGCCTCTCTTGCTGCCCCCCATGCTGACTCCACTCTTTTGCCTCTCTTGCTGCCCCCCATGCTGACTCCACTCTTTTGCCTCTCTAGCTGGCCCCCATGCTGACTCCACTCTTTTGCCTCTCTTGCTGCCCCCCATGCTGACTCCACTCTTTTGCCTCTCTTGCTGCCCCCCATGCTGACTCCACTCTTTTGCCTCTCTTGCTGCCCCCCATGCTGTCTCCACCAATGCCTCTATATCCGTATTGATGTCTCCTCGCAAGTATGTGCTGCCTCTCCTGCTGCCCCCCTTTGTAAACTCCACTCATGCCTCATCTGCTGCCCCCCTTGTCTTGTCACCCCACCTCTTGGCCCTCTTGCCTCCCCTTCTTTTGCCACTCTTGTGTCTTTTGCCCTTCCTCCGCCCCTGGCCCCCCTGCTTCTCATCCTCATCCTCATCATCTTCCTCCTCTTCCTCCTCTTCCTCCTCTTCCTCTTCCCTCCTGCCTCCCTTGCCTCTGCCTCTCTTGTGCGTTCTGCCCTTCCTCCGCTCACGCCCCCCCTGTTTCTCATCATCCTGCCCCTCCTCTTCCTCCTCCTCTTCCTCTTTCTCTTCCCTCCTGCCTCCCCTGATTTTCCCTCTCTTCTGCCTTCTGCCCTTCCTAAGCCCTTGCCCCCCCCGTTTCTCATCCTCCTCCTCCTCCTCTTCCTCCTCCTCCTCTTCCTCATCCCTCTTGCCTCCCCTGCTTTTGCATCTCTTGTGCCTTTTGCTCTGCCTCCGCTCCTGCCCCCACTGTTTCTCCTCCTCCTCCTCCTCCTCGTCCTCCTCCTCCTCCTCCTCGTCCTCCTCCTCTTCCTCCTCCTCCTCCTCCTCCTCCTCCTCCTCGTCATCCGTCTCCATGTCCTCCGTGTCGTACACCTCCTGCTCTTCCTCCTTCAGGTCCTTCCTCTCCTCATCAGGCTCGGCCGTCCCCCGGAACGCCTCAAATCCTGACTCGTGAACATACAGCCCACGGTCGCCCCACTTGAAGCCCTGCACGTCTGTGTTGTACACGGGGGTGTGGCGTCTAAAGTGGTCTTTGATGATCCACCGCACATTACGGTGCAAACCCGTCATCCATTCAGTGTTTTTCCGGTGGGAGTTGGAGACGTTCAAGTCAGTCTTCTTAACCTTTGCCAAGCCCTGGTCTATCTGAAAAAGCATAGCAAGGTATGGGAAGGAGGGGAAACAGAGACTTCAGTGGACACTCGCGTGCAGAGTTTACGGGCTGCGCAAATAGCCCCACATACAATGCCGGCGGGCTAGTAGAGCATGCCAAGCTAGAGCATACTGATAGTTGAGCAATAATGTCTTACCACCATGATTGACCAGGCTATGTGGTAGGCTTTGACGCACACCCGGCGCCCGACACAGAGATTCCGAAATAATTCCCGGACCGCATCTACAAATCGGCCGTTGGCGAACGGGAGCCCTTCTCTGTTGTTCCCCCACGAGCTGACCCGCTGATTCCTTCCTGCGCGCACGCATGACAATGCGTGGCAGCATGTGACATGTGTGATCATGCATGACATGGTTAGGGGTTGTCCATAGGGTATGGATGAAGGGGAGGGCGGTATAGAATGAATGGAGGGAGGGCGGGAGGGCGGGAAAGAAGGGGAGGGCGGGAGAGAAGGGGTTTAGGGAGAGAAGGGGAGGGCGGGAGATTTCGGGAAGGGCGGGAGAGAAGGGGAGGGCGGGAGAGAAGGGGAGGGCGGGAGAGAAGAGGAGGGCGGGAGAGAAGGGGAGGGCGGTAGAGAAGGGGAGGGCGGGAGAGAAGGGGAGGGCGGGAGATTAAAGGGGGGGCGGGAGAGAAGGGTAGGGCAGGAGAGAAGGGGAGGGCGGGAGATTAAAGGGGGGGCGGGAGAAGGGGAGAGTGGGAGAAGAACCAACGTATTGCTGTCATGCGAATGTGTTTGCACATGTGCTACAAGCTTGGCCAAGGAAAGCAGATATGTAGTCGCGTGCCAAAGTGGGGATGCATTAATGTACTTCATCATCGTGGGGCATGCACGAGGGGTGCACGAGCAGACATGTCAATAGGGGAAGTAAAACAGTAACACAAGTAAGTACTCACTCGGTTGGTATTTTTTCCACATCTTCTTCTTCTTCTTGGTGCCCATCCAAAGATCGGCTGCACGCAGGCCTTCCACCTTCTTGCCGAAAGTTACGAGCACTCTGCGCTTGAGGTGGAAGCCACGATCGTTCTTCGATGACGTCCAAGCGCGTTTAAAGACGTCGACGATGTTTTTGTCTTCCATAGCCTCTCGCAGCTGCGTCATGTTGATGATGTGCGTCTCGCTGATAACTTGATACAAAACCTGCAGACGCTGTTCAAGCGTTGGGTAGAAGTCTATGGCATCGTCTGGCCATTCTAGGCACATCCGGTCCCGCCCCACGGCGAAATAAACCTATGACGGACGGGTGGATTAGTAAAGTAAAATTGAATGATGCCTCCGAATGAAGGGCGGAATTCAGAGGTTGAGAGAGAGGGCTGTTGCTATCACTGCGCCGCATGCCACCCACACCAACAACAGCACCATGAACAGGAGCTCTGGTTGAGGTAGGCGAGTGATGGGAGAGAGAGGGGGGAGAGAGGGGATGAAATGGTCTGAGTGAAATCATATGGGAGAGGGGGGCAGAGTCTGAGAGCACCGTACGCCCAACGTTGTTGTTCATGTTTTCCTCTTACTAGGAGTCACAACCCCCGCTGCAGCCCGGCCCGCTACACGCTGCGCCGCATGCCACACGCACCAGACCAGCAGCACCGTTTGGAGGGGCTCTGGAAGAGGAGGGAGAGGGATGGGATAGAGAGGGGAGGGGGGAGTGGCGGAAAGAAGGGGTTGGGCACGTGGGGTTGACAGCGCGGGCTGCTGCTATCTCTGCGCTGCATGCCCCCGCATGAGACCTGCAGCACCGTTTGGAAGGTCTCTGGAAGAGGAGGGAGAGGGATAGGATAGGGAGGGGAGGGAGGAGCGGCGGAAAAAAGGGTTGGGTGCGTAGGGTTGACAGCGAGGGCTGCTGCTATCTCTGCGCCGCATGCCACACGCACCAGACCAGCAGCACCGTTTGGAAGGTCTCTGGAAGAGGAGGGAGAGGGATGGGATAGGGAGGGGAGGGAGGAGCGGCGGAAAGAAGGGGTTGGGCGCGTGGGGTTGACAGCGCGGGCTGTTGCTATCTCTGCGCCGCATGCCACACGCACCACACCAGCAGCACCGTTTGGAAGGTATCTGGAAGAGGAGGGAGAGGGATGGGATAGGGAGGGGAGGGAGGAGCGGGAGAAAAAAGGGTTGGGCGCGTGGGGTTGACACCGAGGGCTGCTGCTATCTCTGCGCCGCATGCCACACGCACCACACCAGCAGCACCGTTTGGAAGGTCTCTGGAAGAAGAGGGAGAGGGATGGGATAGGGAGGGGAGGGGGGAGCGGCGGAAAGAAGGGGTTGGGCGCGTGGGGTTGACAGCGCGGGCTGTTGCTATCTCTGCGCCGCATGCCCCCGCATGAGACCTGCAGCACCGTTTGGAAGGTCTCTGGAAGAGGAGGGAGAGGGATAGGACAGGGAGGGGAGGGAGGAGCGGGAGAAAAAAGGGTTGGGCGCGTAGCGTTGACAGCGAGGGCTGCTGCTATCTCTGCGCCGCATGCCACGCGCACCAGACCAGCAGCACCGTTTGGAGGGGCTCTGGAAGAGGAGGGAGAGGGATGGGATAGAGAGGGGAGGGAGGAGCGGCGGAAAGAAGGGGTTGGGCGCGTGGGGTTGACAGCGCGGGCTGTTGCTATCTCTGCGCCGCATGCCCCCGCATGAGACCTGCAGCACCGTTTGGAAGGTCTCTGGAAGAGGAGGGAGAGGGATGGGATAGGGAGGGGAGGGAGGAGCGGGAGAAAAAAGGGTTGGGCGCGTAGGGTTGACAGCGAGGGCTGCTGCTATCTCTGCGCCGCATGCCACACGCACCACACCAGCAGCACCGTTTGGAGGGGCTCTGGAAGAGGAGGGAGAGGGATGGGATAGAGAGGGGAGGGAGGAGCGGCGGAAAAAAGGGATTGGGCGCGTGGGGTTGACACCGAGGGCTGCTGCTATCTCTGCGCCGCATGCCACACGCACCACACCAGCAGCACCGTTTGGAGGGGCTCTGGAAGAGGAGGGAGAGGGATGGGATAGAGAGGGGAGGGAGGAGCGGCGGAAAAAAGGGATTGGGCGCGTGGGGTTGACACCGAGGGCTGCTGCTATCTCTGCGCCGCATGCCACACGCACCAGACCTGGTGCACCGTTTGGAGGGGCTCTGGAAGAGGAGGGAGAGGGATGGGATAGAGAGGGGAGGGAGGAGCGGCGGAAAGAAGGGGTTGGGCGCGTGGGGTTGACAGCGCGGGCTGTTGCTATCTCTGCGCCGCATGCCACACGCACCACACCAGCAGCACCGTTTGGAGGGGCTCTGGAAGAGGAGGGAGAGGGATGGGATAGAGAGGGGAGCTAGGAGAGGTGGGGCAGAGTGTGAGAGTATCGTACCCCCAGCGCCACCTCCCTGAAGCGAGGCGTACTGGGAGTGCCTATCCCACTGTGGCCATGCCGCTATCACTGCGCATAATGCCACAAACACGCTGACCAGCAGAAAGAGGTGGGGGAAACGAGGGGTTGAGAGAGAGAGCTGCAGCTATCACTGAGTCCCATGCCACCCATTGCTTAACACTAAAACATACTCACCTTCAGCAGCTTGGGTGTGGGCATCCCACGCAATCGACGGACCGGTACGTCGACCGTCGCTGGGCTTTCTGGCGCCACGCCTGGATCGAGGCCCCCTGCAGATGGGCCGCTCGACAGAGACGCTAGAGGAGGAGGCCTAGACGGAGGGGTGCAGGGTTTGACAGGTCCTTTGGAACCTGCCCGTGCCTTGAGTGCAGCAATTTCGCAATCCCGCTGGGCAAGCTCTCGCATGAGCTGCTCCACAGTCTTGCCGCCAGCCAAATCGGGCCGAGTGGATGCGCCAGGTGTACCCATGCTCTCTCCCCTCCCCTCCTTAGTCGCCGGATCCATTTTCGCGTCTCCTCCTCCTCCCCTGCTCTCCCGTACATCCCACATGGAGCCTTCCACACCGCCGCCACATTCACCCAGGGCATTCGCCCACACACCTCCTCCCACACCGTCATTGGCTGCTGCAGCGGCCGACGGTTCGTACCGCTTCGTTGCCCCCTCGATTTTCACATGAACCGCGTGATCCCCCGTATGCTTTGCAGGCGGGTCCGTCGCTTCCCTGCCAAACCGCGCTGACCCCCAAGCCATCGGATCTCCCTTCCCAGCCGAATCCATCGGCTCGCGTAACACAGCGTACGGGTCCGCGGCTTTTCGATCATGAGAGCTTGATGGACATCGTAGCCCCATGGACTCGTAAAAGTCCAACTCCCGCTTCGCCTTGCTACGCACACCCACAATTCTAGCTTCGAAACGAGGTCTCTGGCGCTTGCCATGTGGTTTGGCACGACGCACACTCTGTTTACAGCTCTTCACCCGTCCCCTCTCCGATTTTCGCTTTCCGTTGCCCTTCTTGAGCTTCCGCACACTCCTCCTCTTCAAAGGCCGAGCCTCCTCCCCATCCTCGCTCTCCGGCTCCAACTCCTCATCCTCCTCGTCCTCCTCCTCCTCATCCTCATTCTCGTATACCTCCTCACTCCCGGATGAGCTGCCCGACTCACTGTCGCTGGATCCTTCCTCGGAACTAGACGAGCTCGAAACGTGCACATTGGGGCCTTGCCGAGCTTGTCTCGCCTTACGGTCGCGACTGCCCCGGTCCACAGCATTGCGCCGTTTGTAAGGAATCACAGCTTCACGTCCATTTTCTTTCCCATCAGTCACTGCTGCTGGCTCGTCCTCATCACGATCGTTAACGCCACGGCATTCAGGCTCGGCATGATCCCCCTCGTCGCCACCATCCGCATCCTGCGACTGCCTGCCCGAGGGACCGCCCTTAGCCGCGGCAGTCATGCCGCCGTTGCGCTTTCCACCAACATGGACTTCAGGCTCGGCATGATCCCCCTCGTCGCCACCATCCGCATCCTGCGCCTGCCTGCCCGAGGGACCGCCCTTAGCCGCGGCAGCCCTGCCGCCGTTGCGCTTTCCACCACCACGAGCTTCAGGCTCGGCATGATCCCCCTCGTCGCCACCATCCGCATCCTGCGACTGCCTGCCGGAGGGACCGCCCTTAGCCGCGGCAGCCCTGCCGCCGTTGCGCTTTCCACCACCACGAGCTTCAGGCTCGGCATTATCCCCCTCGTCGCCACCATCCGCATCCTGCGACTGTCTGCCCGAGGGACCGCCCTTAGCCGCGGCAGCCCTGCCGCCGTTGCGCTCTCCACCACCACGAGCTTCAGGCTTGGCATGTTTCTGCTCATCGCCGCGCGCCATTGCCATTTCTTGGCGGCCTGATAAACTGTCAGGATCCGCCGCAACCTTACAGCTACGGTCATAACCTCTACCGCGTTGGCCTGCGCGCTTGCCTGCCGACCCATCTGCGAAGGCGGACATTACAGGTACATTATATATACTGTGCAAGATTATCTTATTGGCCGGAAGTTGCAACATGACATGCGGCGTCATTGTAATGAGTAACGTGCAAGTTATAAACCGTCGATATCACACCCACAGCGTACCTAAGCTGTCAGGTCCCCCGTCCTTGCCCTCCTCGTCGCCTTCAGACGCAGGAGTTTCTTCACGATGTGAACGAGTGCCTCTTTTTCTTGGACGGTGCTTACGCCCCCCCCGGTTGTCACGCTTGTCCGCTGACACTGATGTGGAAACACAATTGGAGAGACAATAACCTCCTACAAGTCAGACACGACTGCAAGCATCGTTAAATGCTTCTAGATGCGATAAAACTTTTATACAAGTAGAATATTCAGCATCTGCGACCATAAACACGTACCTTTCTGGCCGGCTTTGGGAACGAGATCATCTAAGCGCTTCACGCGCTTATCCCTTGGTTTCGGAGGGGATGATACGCCCTTGTTTGCGTATGGCTCAACATCGCAGTCGCTGTTCGATTCGTTACCGGATGAAGAGACACGTCCTGAATCAACAACTTATCGCGCCGACGACGCATTATATTTGCGATACTCGTTTACGATCTCGGCCGTCTTATCTGCTCATACTAACTCCGTAAATATTTTTTCGTCGGGAGATTTAGACGAATCAGCCAGTACGATCGCCCCATCGGGCCCCTTCATTGTCTGACTACCCATTACGATGTCTAGCTTTACATTCATGCAGTACTCTGAGGGGGCGGGTTGTTATATCGTGAGGAACCTGACAGACAGTCTTCGAGCACAAAAAATTGGTTGAGGGAGAGGGACGAGGCAAAGGCTTGGGGCTTAGAGCAGACGATTGTCACATATGCAGGCACGCAAGGGGAGCACGGAGGTGATGAGGGTTTGAGTGTTTCCTCGTCTGGTGCACGTTGCGACTGCCAGGTCCCCCGTTTCCGCCAACAACCAATCGCCTGGTGGTTGAGGTGTATAAAGGAAAAAATTACTGCACTGCCGTGTTAAGATTCCGTGGGAGCGTGCGTGCTTCATTGAGTATCCGTCCACGAGCGGCAGGGTGCGCTTCTTTTTGTTTAACCTGACAGTCAAATGCGCTAGTGTATCTGGGTTTGCGAGGGTCATATTTATTCTGCCCGGGTTGTCATACTGTTTACAATGAAATGCCTCGCGTGCCACACAAACCTACACAAGCGTCACGTCAAGAGTCACATAGCCACTGCGGAGAAACGGCGACGCACGATCGCAGCAAGTCGTACAGCGATGCGACAGGTCGACACGAAGCCGTTGTGGCACGCCTGCGATAAAAACGCAGACTCAAAAGTTACTTGTGTGTGGTTGCGACTGGGTCGCAAATCGGTGAGATTCGCGTACGTGGCATAGCGTGGAGGTGAGTGGAATGGCGCAGGGCGGGGCACGAAATGGCACATTGATTTGCAAAGCCTCAATAGTGTGGTGTACGTACATGATAAAAAATAGTATCAGAGGGTTGTGGAGTCTACACAACCCATTTGCATAGTGACAAGTATGCAACATAACAGCGTAAAACCAGACACCTCCTTCACACAACATGCCCATAACGGTTTGTTGTAGAGCAGTCATTCTGATACATCGATTGATTAGTAAGTATGGTCTATTTAATTGCTGCCTGGTCGTGATGCAACGCGCTGCCTCACCACGACTCGAGAGCTACGGGCATGTCATTTGAGGTGCAAAATTAATAGAGCCAGACACAAACTCCCCGTATGGGGCATGTCTGCTCTCATGCCATACAGGGCAGCCTGTATGCAGTGACCTAAGAGCTTGCTGTGTTGTATGTTCTTGCTTCATGCTGGAACGGAGTTGAGAAACCCCTGCTGTTCTACCCACTAGAGTTGTAGGGACATGCAGGACTGTTTTGCAGCATCACACTGACCCATCGTGTATTGTTTGTAGACATGTCAAGCAGGACCGGCAGTGACAAACACATCCCTACGGGTAGTGTTCTCTAGTCATGCAGGACTGGAAGTGACCAACACTCTCCTTTTGGCCACACTTGTTGTCACGTCATGCAGGACTGATTCAAAGCCTCTCCATTGCGCTTTGTTTCATGCTTGTTGGCATATCAAGCTGGCAGGACGGATGAACAAACAGTTCCCTATTGCTCTTGTCCTCATTCCCCCATGCTACCCGCTTCGTTGTTCTTCACTGTCACACTTATTCCTCCCACGTACCCGCCTCATTCCCTCCTGCTTCTCGCCTCATTCCCTCCTGCTTCCCGCCTCATTCCCTACTGCTTCCCGTCCCATTCCCCATAGGTACCCGCCGGTTCCCCCTTTGCACACGGGCCTCGTTCCCCCCACACACCCGCCAAAGCCCCTCCAGCTTCCCGCCTCATCCGCCCTCGTTCACCGCCTTCTCCCCCTTTGCTACCCGCCTCATTCCCCCTTGCTACCCACCCCAGTCCCACTCGCTACTCGCCTCATTCCCCCTTGCTACCCACCCCAGTCCCACTCGCTACCCGCCTCATTCCCCCTTGCTACCCACCCCAGTCCCACTCGCTTCCCGCCTCATTCCCCCTTGCTACCCTCCCCATTCTCCCTTGCTTCCCGCCCCATTCCCCCGTGCTTCCCGCCTCATTCACCCTTGCTACCCACCCCATTCTCCCTTGCTACCCCCCTCATTCCCCCTCGCTACCCGCCTCATTCCCCCTCGCTTCCCGCCTCATTCCCCCTTGCTTCCCACCCCATTCTTCACTGCTACCCGCCTCATTCCCCCTCGCTACCCGCCTCATTCCCCCTTGCTACCCTCCCCATTCTCCCTTGCTTCCGGCCTCATTTCCCCTTGCTTCCCGCCTCATTCCCCCTTGCTTCCCGCCCCATTCCCCCTTGCTCCGGGCCTCATTCTCCCATGCTACCCCCCTCATTCACCCTTGCTACCCGCCTCATTCCCCTTTGCTTCCCGCCTCATTCCCCCTTGCTACCCTCCCCATTCTCCTTTGCTTCCCGCCCCATTCCCCCGTGCTTCCCCCCTCATTCACCCTTGCTACCCGCCTCATTTCCCTTTGCTTCCCGCCTCATTCCCCCTTGCTACCCACCCCATTCTCCCTTGCTACCCCCCTCATTCCCCCTCGCTACCCGCCTCATTCCCCCTCGCTTCCCGCCTCATTCCCCCTTGCTTCCCACCCCATTCTTCACTGCTACCCGCCTCATTCCCCCTTGCTTCCTACCCCATTCTTCACTGCTACCCGCCTCATTCCCCCTTGCTACCCTCCCCATTCTCCCTTGCTTCCCGCTGATGGAAAGCGAGCGAATCTGGAGAGCGTACAAGAGATTAAGTCCGCCGACTTCGACGGGACATTCCGTGCAGCTCACGTAACCTTAAACTATGAGCAGGTACGCGTTGGAAAGGTCTTAATCTCTACGTTCCAGAATGGTAAAGCACGCCTTCAACCAAGATCTAGGCCGATCGCTATCGCGATTTAAGTGCGACGGGGTATCATGGCGGAATTACTTGGCAGCCATGGATTAGATCAAGGAACTAGCTTTAGCAAGAGTTCAGGTCTGAAAAGTGACGAGTTTTTCAAAACCTACCAACCCAACCCTCGCCCTACAACAATCCCCAACAACCCAAAGTGCTAAACTAGCAACACCAAAGGTGTTCTAGTGAATAGCAAAGGTTTGTTGGTGCTTGTTGGGTGCGAGATCAATTCCAGCCCGCAACAAGTCTAACCACCACATTTTGCCCAAACCCTTACCCCACAACCAGCTAGAGCAAAATACCACAACCACCTACACAATCAACACTCCCCCTTGCTCGTGTTGGAGGTGGCTGAACACTGCTGGGCAAAATCCTTCACTTCACTCCCCGTTGCCCAGGGAGGGGCGCCATCCACAGCATGAGGTCGTCAAGGCAGAGAAGCACCAGTCCTCCCACATCCTGCTCAGGCACCATGCTGACATGGGGCTGCATCCCCATCAAGGACATGCACACACCATGCCGCTCAAAAGGGAGGGGTTTGGTGAGTATATCTGCTGCTTGACGGTTGGTGGGGCACCACCGGAGGATCACCTCGCCGCACGCCACCATCTCCCTGATGAATCAAGATGCCACTCTCATCACGCTCAATCTGCACCCCCAAATAGTACTTAGCCTCCCCCAAGTCCTTCATGCGGAAACGAGAGGACAAGAGACCCTTCACCTCGTCCAGCAAGACCATGCTCGAAGACATGAGCAGAATGTCATCCACATAGAGGTAGAGGGACAGCCTGCCCTCACGCCTCACCAAGTGGTACAAGGCGGGGTCACACTCCGACCTCTCAAACCCAAAATCCATCAGCGCCTCATCAAACTTGAGGTACCACTGTCTTGGAGCTTGCTTTAGCCCATAGATTGATTTCTTGAGTCGGCAAACTCTGCCGGACCCATCATCAAAACCAGGTGGCTGCCTCATGTAAAGCTCCTCCTTCAAGACCCCATGAAGATAGGCAGTGGTTACATCCATGTGATGGATGTGGAACCCCGAGGATGCTGCCATTCCAAGGGAACCTCTCAGGGTGGTAGGTTTACCCACCGGGGTATATACCTGGTCATAGTGAACGCCTCGTGTTTGAGTGTTCCCCATGGCCACCAACCTGGACTTAGGCCTCTCAATACTCCCATCAGCCATGTGCTTATACTTCCACACCCACTGACACCTCAAGACCTTAGTATCTTCACCTTCGCCCCGGCTTCCCTCTCCGCATAGCGTATCCAACGCTTGAACACCTTTGCCACCTCATCCTTGGTTTTCACCAAGGTAACCCAACTTAGCCGGCTGAAGTCATCCAAGAAGGTGATGAAGTATTTGCTGCCCTTCTCCCTATCCGGTGTTTGCATGGGGCCACACACATCCGTGTGCACCAACTCAAGAGGTGCGGAGGCTCTAGTGGTGGAGGTAGGGAAGGAGGTCCTTGGCAGCTTCCCGGTCGTGCAATCAGGGCACTTGCTTGGCTGCCCACCACCCTCCTTGATCTCCATACCCTTCAGCTCCCCCTTCTTCACACACTCCACAAGTTGCTGCCGTCCTGCATGCCCCATGCGTAGGTGCAGCAAAACTGCCGTCACCTGCTCCACGTCCCTCCAACGGGTGGTACAAGCGGCTTCCTCGGCTTCAACACCATGTGCCTTCTCCACCTGAGGCACACGAACTGGAACAAGGTATAGACCCTTCTCTAACTTGGCCTCCATCACCACAGCTCCACCTTTGCGAACCGTGCCACCTTCCATGGTGAAGATGCATATGTATTCCTGCCTCGCAATTTGAGAGCATGAGAGAAGGTTGGCTGCCAATTCAGGAACATGAAGCACACCCTTCACATTCAGCACCTCCCCCTCCTTCCCCTTGACGGTGATGGTGCCGATGCCGATTGCTGGCAGCGTATCTCCGCTCCCCACAATCACATTTCTAGAGTTAGGTGGGAGGGAGTGATAGGTGGTGAAGAGGTCGCGCCGAGGTACCATTCCACAGGTTGCTCCAGAGTCTAGAATGAGCTGATTGGGGTCAGCCAACGTACGACCAGCAAGCGCCGTCTCCTTCTCTAAGGATAAGAAAGAGAAGCCATCATCCGATAAGTCCTCCTTTCCCTTCTTATCCTCGTTTGCCGCCGCTGCTGCCGCTTTCTCTTTGCTGCCCTTCTTGTTCCATGCTCCATTCTTCATCCTCCTCTCCACCCACTCAGGCCTAGTGACAGGTGGAGCCTCTCCTGGGTACCCTTGAGGCTTCCACCCATCTGATCGGCTCCAACACTCCTTCCAAGAGTGCTTCCGGTTGCATCCAGGGACGAGGCACTTGTCCAGATCCTTCTTCTTCCCCCCACCTCCTTGCCGCTGCTGGTATTTCTTGGAGGCAGCCCTATCACCTGCCCCCATTCCCCCTTCAACTCCTCTTCCAGCATCCCGTTTGCGAGCCTCATCAGAGACCAACACCTCCCATATCCAGGCCTTGGTCCATTTCTGTTGCTCAAGGTGAAGGTATTGCAGTAGGGCCTCGTTCGCCTCTTGGTCCAGCCCCTGGAGTGCGGTGTAGATTATCTCCTTCTCATCTACAGTGTAGTTCAACTCCTCTAAGGCTCTCACATACTCATCCACCCTCTGGAGATACTGCACCATGGTCTCCCCATCCCCATAGTTGCGTTCCATGGTGTAAAACCGCTTCCTCCAGGTGAGTATGCTTAGCAGCCCTTTTTGCAAGTGCCGATCTTGAACTCTCTTCCATGCTAGTGCAGCTGCTCCTTGCTTCCCCTTCAGGTCAATCAGCATCTTTAGGAGCTCTAGTTGGCCTTCCAAGGCCCAACACAGGTACTGGAACGCTTGCTTGTCCTTGCGGTCCCATGCTTCCTGTGCCTTAAGAAGCTCCTCTGTACTAAGCCGTTGCCTTCCGGTTCGCGGTGCTGCTGATCCACCTCCACTTCCCTCAGTTATGGATGAGCTAGAGGCTCCCCCAGCCCCTTCTCCCACTTGGCTAGAGACTCCAGTAGATGCCTTTCCTTCATCAGCTTCAGGTATTCGCTCCGATCCCTCCAAAACGCCTTCTAGGTCTTTGATACCTAGCCAAAGCGTAAACTGGAACCGCCATAGTGAAAAATCCGAGACGGTGAACCTAGGAGGGCCATCTAATTTCTGGGCCATGACCAACCCTAGATCTGTAGGTCCTTCAACCAATTCGAAATATGATGAAAAAGAGGGAATGTCGCAGGCCTAACCAGCTCTTATACCACTGATGGAAAGCGAGCGAATCTGGAGAGCGTACAAGAGATTAAGTCCGCCGACTTCGACGGGACATTACGTGCAGCTCACGTAACCTTAAACTATGAGCAGGTACGCGTTGGAAAGGTCTTAATCTCTACGTTCCAGAATGGTAAAGCACGCCTTCAACCAAGATCTAGGCCGATCGCTATCGCGATTTAAGTGCGACGGGGTATCCTGGCGGAATTACTTGGCAGCCATGGATTAGATCAAGGAACTAGCTTTAGCAAGAGTTCAGGTCTGAAAAGTGACGAGTTTTTCAAAACCTACCAACCCAACCCTCGCCCTACAACAATCCTCAACAACCCAAAGTGCTAAACTAGCAACACCAAAGGTGTTCTAGTGAATAGCAAAGGTTTGTTGGTGCTTGTTGGGTGCGAGATCAATTCCAGCCCGCAACAAGTCTAACCACCACATTTTGCCCAAACCCTTAGCCCACAACCAGCTAGAGCAAAATACCACAACCACCTACACAATCAACACCCGCCTCATTCCCCCTTGCTTCGGGCCTCATTCTCCCTTGCTACCCCCCTCATTCCCCTTTGCTTCCCGCCTCATTTCCCCTCGTTACCCGCCTCATTCCCCCTTGCTTCCCGCCTCATTCCCCCATGCTGCCCGCCTCATTCTCGCTTGCTACCCGCCCCATTACCAGCTTTTCACCGCCTCATGCCCCACCTCCAACCTCCAACATTGTTTTTGCCCGAAAATACACAGACCACTTCCTCAAATCACGACGGTACTGACGGCGCCAATTGAGTGGCGTCCCCACAAGCTCACACGCCGGTAGTTTATGGAAACCATCCTCGACCAACGTGTGCATCACACGCATCGTGAACACACCAAAGTCGTTCTCATTTGCCTGCATGGGTATCTGGACAATCACAGGGTGCGTGAGTGCGTGGTGAGGCCCCGTACGGGATTGGGGTTCCGGTGTGGAAATCGCGTGCAGGAAAAGAGAGATGCGATTGTTTCGAAGCTCGTACACACAAGGCAACAGCACTCACCGTGACCTGGCGTAGCGGGATGCTCGCCGCCCATGCATCTGCGTCTGAATCAATGATCCATGCACAGCATCTTATCACCTCGTTTCGTAAGTACCTGCACACCGGGAGACATTGATTCAATGCTTTCGTAACCCGAACTTCTGTACGAGACAATAGCGGACTGCCATTAAAGAGAGAGTACCTGCGCAACGGGGCGTCGACACCGGCATGGGTACCGTACGAGTCAGCGTGCCAGAGCACGCAGTTCATGGGAATCGGGTCGTCGGGTCTCGGGATGATCTCGATCACGATCAGGCTCCATTGACTCCTAAGGCACACATGAGGTCTATCATCAGTAACTCCGACGTTAGACCACCGAATTACATATGGTGCAACGGCTAGACGCGACGAGTACTCACTCGGTATTTATCGGAACGAGTACATATGTGAAATCGAAAATTCCCAATCCGAAAGTATAGGCGTTTTCACGCCGCGAAATGTCCTTCTTAGCGTAGTCCCAGAAATATGA